CTGTATTCTGTATCAGATTTCTTGGGGTTAATTTTGTATCCTGCTACATTGCCAAATTCATGTATTAAGTCTAGTAGCTTTTTGATGGAGTCTCTAGGGTTTTGTATGTATAATGTCATGTCGTCTGCAAATAAGGACAGTTTTACTTCCTATTTTCCAATTTGGATGCCTTTTATTTCTTCTTCTTGCCTAATTGCAATGTCTAACACTTCCAGTATTATTTTGAACAGGAGTGGTGAGAGGGGGCATCCCTGTCTTGTTCCTGTTCTTAGGGAAAATGGTGTTCGTTTTTGTAGTGACATTTTTTTTTAAACAAATTAAAGAATAAGGGAGGAAAATGACTAGGTAAAAATGTACTTCTTCAGCAATCAGTTACTGAACATCAATAATATTCTGGACCACGATGACAATGGTAATGGAAATACTAAAAGAAAAATTAATCCTCGGATGTTAATTGAGAGAGACAAAGAACAAAGCAGGAATTATAGAACTGTGAATGTGTTTGAATGCTAAGGATGCGACCTGGAAGCACCTCCTGGGAAGAACATAGATCTAATGTTTCATCAAGAATAAGATGTGAAGGGTAAGGGAGTGGGAGAGGCCTATGGAAAGGAAAGGTTTAACTCTGAGGTGCATTTGGAGACCATCTCCTTTCAAATGCCTGGAAATTAAGGCGTGAATGGTGAGGAGCTCACTGGAGGTGAGGTAGCTCTAGAAGGAAGCTAGATCTGGAAGTCACATGCAGGAATTCATGTTTCACTCTCAAGATGCTTACCAGTTAATGGAGGATTTTAAGCAAAGAATAATCTAACCAGATGTGTGTGTAATAAGAGCACTTTGACTGCACTGCTGAGGTTAACAGTGGAATGGGGCATAAGGAGATCCATGAGCAATATTCCCTTTAATTCAGGAGAGAAGAGGTGAGGTCCTGATCCCCTACAGCAGTGGGGGGGGGGGGAAGGGATGTCTTGCCCTGCCAAGGGCTTAGGAGTGAGTTAATTAAATGTTTGACCAAATAGAGCAGGCTAATTTTTAAGTTGATAATTTTGTATGACTTGAGAATGATGTTATAAATATCCAAATGGCCCTGGGCAGAAAAAAGTTTCCCCACCCCTGCCCTATAGTGTCAATAGTGGAAGATACAAAAATATGGTATGGGGCAATATTAATGATATAGAATTAACAGGGATGGTGAACAGTTAGGTACAGATGGAGTAAAGAGAGAATCGAATAATAATGAAAGGTGGTTCTAGTCACCAAGAAGGGGAATGCAGGAAAATTGGTAGATTTTTAAGAGGAAAAAAAGTGGATTCTGGTTTTGATATTTGGAGCTTGAGGAGCCTTAAAATGACTCTAGAGTACAGCTATGTGGTAGCCATCTAGTCTGGGATGGGATAGAAGTTTAAAGAGGATATGAAAATACAGCAGTCACCATAACATGAGTAGCCATTGGAGCCATAATTGACTTTCAAGATTGTCTACAGGACTGTTTCTCCAAGAGAATAAGAGAAAACTGCAGTGGGGAAAGTCAAAAGCCTAATATTTATGTAGAGATTTAAAAATATTTTAAAATACATTTTTTGGATTCCCATATCAGTACTTTGAGGAGACATTATTGTGCTCACCTTTCTCCTTTTATGATGAGAACTGAAGCTCACATAAGTGAAGAGACTTCAATAAATAGCAATAAATAGATCCTAGTCACAAATCCAGGTTGTTCTCCACTGCCTTTACATTTTAATGTTAATTTATTATATCAGAAGGGCATTATGACCATCTACTATCTCACACACGTTTTACTGATGACATTGTTGTAAAATTCTCTCTCTTTCTGTGCCTTTGTTTAAACTTTCTAAGGTCAGTACTGTGACAGGCAAGAATAGCAGCTGAGTTACAGTGGGGGCAGTAACCTTGCTCCAGGTAGTTTGAGTTGGCATTTTCAACTGACATGGTCAGAACAGAACCATTTCACATTTATGATGGTGGAAAATACAACCTTAGCCGTACCACAGTCCATTTTGACTTAGCTTCTGTTTAGGCCTCTCTTATCGTAGCAGGTTGAATATTTAAAAACTTGACTTAGGTAAAGCATAAAATACAAATTAAAACAGCA